GCCCTGCCTGCCTCTCTGGTGGAGCTCCTCTCTGGGCTCTGTCACTGACACCTTTAGACTTCTCAGATGCGAGGCCACTGCCAGTCTTCTGGCTCTCCGAATCCAGCGGATGCATGTCAAGCTTTCCTTCACATTATTTACTCATTGAACAAATACTTATTGAGTGTCTGCCATGTGCCCCAGGCCCTGTTCTAGGCACTTGGGGAAACAGTGGAGAAATAAAACTCCCTACCCTTGGGGTGCCATGTTCTAACAAAAAGAGTCAGAAATAAACAATAAGCATAGTATACATGCAAATTATAGAATACGTTAGGTGGTTAGCACCATGGGGAAAAAGGAAAAGTCAAGTCGAGCAGGGTAGTGATCAGGAGGATGGCGGCAGAGTTGTGGTCTGAAGAAATGTGTTCCGGGTGGGCCACACTATTCAGTGAGGAGCTGACATCTTGAGCAAAGGCGAAGGAGGCGAGTACCTGGGCTGCGTAGCTGGGCATAGCTTGAGCACAGAGCAGCCGCCAGGCCTTGGCCCTGAGCCGAAGATGGGGATGGATCTGGGGTGCCCAAGGAGCACCGGCTTTAGACAGGAATATGGAAAGTATGGGATTTTTTTTTTTTAAGTTATGTGTCTGCCTTGAAGTGTAAGAGGAGAGAGACCAGGACTTGGCCCTTGAAAGTGCCCCTAGTTATAGTTTTTGGCCCAGGGACAGGGTAGCATTGGCCCAGCGTTCAGAGCCTCAGCTTGTCGCAGGCTTGCTCTGTGACCCTAGACATGTCACTTCCTGTCTCTGGACCTCAGCTTCCATTTCTATAAAATGAGGGGCTGCTCCCTGGGCCTGCGAGGGTCTGTGATTCTCCTGGCCCCTCAGGAGCCCTCTCCTCACAGGCGGGGAACACAGCCCTTTGCCTGGCTGCGGGCCGGGGCCACCTGGCTGTGCTGCAGCGACTCGTGGCTATCAGGCTGGACCGCGAGGAGCGGAGCGCGGTGAGTCCCTGCCTGGAGGATGCAGAGATGTGTGACAGTCACTTACTCCTTGCTTTTGAGGACCCCACAGCCTGGGCTGCTCCTGATTCTGCCCTGGTGGGAACCCTGAAGCTGACAACACCTTTTTGGACTAACAGCCCACCAGGAAAAGATGAGCAGCAGCACAAAACCCCTGGCTGAGTGGGTCACTAGGCACGAGGGGTCAGCAAGAGGTCCTGCACCTGGTGTGCGCTCAGAGAAGGGAGAGGTCACAGCGGCCAGGGTGCTCAGAGATGGCTTCCTGGAGTAAGAGGGCATAGACAGGCAGCAGGGGTGAGGCGCTGGGAGGGCAAGGAGAGCACGAGCGGCGGGGTGGAGGAGGGAGGGAAGATCCCCCATGCCCTTCAAAGTGAGAGGCTCAGGTGCGGGGCTCAGGGAGCCACAGACGACCAGGGCCTCCGTCCTCAGTCGTAGGGCCGTGGGGTGCTGGCAGAGCCCTGCCGCGTGAGGCAGGAGTGTCCGCTCTCCTCAGGGTCAGGCTGCAGCCTCTGGCTCACACGTGGCCCCGAGTGTTTCAGGAGGTCTGACCGCGCTGCGTGCAGCTGCTGACGGGATCCACCCCGACTGTGGGCAGCTCCTCCTGGGGGCCCAGAGCTGTGGGAATGCCCTCACCCAGGTAGCCAGGCCTCCCCACAAACGAAGTCTGCTCTCAGCTGCTGAACCATAACCCTGTCAACTGTAGCAGCCACAGCGACTCCAGAGCTAGGAAGCAGCAGGCCCAGGGTCTGGTCTTGGCTTCTCCATAGCTGATCTCTGTGACCTTGGGCAAGTTACTTAACTTCTCTGAGCCTCATTTCCCAAATAAAAAATGGGAATTCTATACACTGCAATTTACATCACTGTGAGGATTAAATACCTCTCACAACAGGAGCTGGACACCTGTTAGTGTCGGCGTCTTGTTGGACACTTGATTGTTCACAAGCCCCTTTATTACTTCAGAAAAATGTCCTCCATTTTATAGAAGAGGAAACTGAAGCTTAGAGAGGTTCAGTGACTTTCCCAGGTCACAAGCTGGTAAGAAGCAAAGCTGAGTCTGAAAAGCCTATTTGTGACTTCAGAGCTCGTGGCCTGGAAAGTTTGCCTGGCCTGTGCAGGGGCCACCCCAGCCCTCAGAGCGGGAGTCTGGGTGTGGCCCTGGGACAGGCCTATTCTCTCCTCACCATTGTGCTCAAGTCAGGTGTTAGAAATTCGCCTCTATGCCCTGGAAATGGGAGTCAGGGCCTTTCTTTAGGTGGGGTGTTAGTGTTTCTGTTTTCGTTTGCTTTTTAAAATCAGTGATAGATAATCTTTCTTGGCTGGTTCAATGGCTACAGGATCTGGGATTCTATATGTGCTCTAAATTTCAATAACAAAGCAAAAATATTAATAGTAAAACATACATAAATAATAGCCAAAGTTGTTTAAAAAAAAACAGAAGAATTAAAATGGTATGCTCCAGAGTATTTAATGTTCAGTCAAGGAAAAACATAACAAAAAAGACAGGAGATGTGTAGAAAATAAATAGCAAAAGGGCATATGCAAATTTACTAATAATATCAATGTTAAACTCCCATAAGTGTGAACAATGCTTTGTAAGCCAAGAACAATTTGCAGAACTCTCCTAGAAGGTGTGGCAACTACCCAGAGCTACCCAGGGGTGTGGGGGGACACCAAGGACAAGAGAGGGAAAGTAGCTGCCCCTGGGCACCCAACTCCATCCCCTTTGGTCAGCAGGCCCCCTCCCTGTGCCTAGTGCAGGTACTGGGAGGGGGCAAAGAGGCAAAGAATCACGGCTGTCTCCCATCAGTAACAGCATGGGGGTGGGGCTCAGAAGATAGCTGGTGGGGTGGGATGCCCCCGTGGGACCCCCCCAGCTCCCCCCACTGTACTGGGCCTTGTGTGCCCACCTTGGCTTGAGGATTCTGGAAGGGGCCACTTTCCGTTTCCACACTCCTACCCCTTGAAGTTCCATGCAGCAGGGTCTCTGAGGAGGGGTTGGACCAAATGACTTCCTTCCCCACTGGGAGGCCGACTGGCGCCCACTCACCCTGTGCACTTGGCTCAGATGGGACTTTGGGAGGGTGACCATCTTGTCCCAGTTTGCCCAGAACTGTCCTGGTCTTCAAACTGTAAGTCCTGAGTCCTAGGGGACCTTCAGCCTCAGGTGGTCAGGGGCAGTTGGTCCCCGGATGGGGCCTGCCTGGGTGAGTGGCGAGGTAGCTCGTGTGAGCTTGTTGTGGGGCCGGGGGTGGGCTCTGACTGAGGACACTGAGAAGGCCCCTGTGGGGTGAAGCCCTCACTCTGGCCTTGCCCAGGCCCACTGAGACTGAATCTCACTGGGCAGTACATGCCAGGTGGGGTTTGCCTGTACTGACAGATCTCATTATCTCCCTCTTGGAAAATTATCTCCTCGGAGTCTATATTCTGTGTGTCTTCTCCAGCTGAGGAATTGTGCAGGCTTTGGCCTACATTCCAGAATTCGTGACAGGAGGGAAGAAAAATGCTGAGACCACAGTGAGCTCCTTTAGCTGGTTACTAGGCCTGTGCAAGTCATTGATTTCTCCAGCCTCAGGGTTTAGTGGAGAGAATAGTCCTGGGGTAGATGTAAACCCTCGTGGAATGATGAATTCCTAAGTGCTTTGTAAACCTCACTGTGAGGGGTCTTCAGGACATTGCATTGATGCCTGTTTCCCTCTAGAAAAAGCAGAGCTGCCTCCACATTCAGCCCTTGGTGGCTCCCAGTACATGGCCCAGGCCCTCATCCACGCGGGAGGCCGCATCAATGTGGCTGATCATGTAAGTGTGGGGCCTGCATATGTACCTCTACATGTATGGGATGACATATGTACCAATTTTTTCACTATTGTTTGTAACAGCAAAAGATTGGAATCCACATTTAAATAGACAATTTAATAAATTAAATGAATTTTAATTTAAATGGAGTGCTATGAAATGGAGTGTTAGGCAGCTGTAAAAATGAATGAGGGAGTTTACCTAACGGACATCTACAGAACACTCCACTCAAAAGCAGCAGGATACACATTCTTCTCAAGTGCACATGGAACATTTTCAAGAACAGATCATATATTAGGCAACAAAAAGAGCCTCAGTAAATTCAAAAAGATTGAAATTGTACCAACCAGCTTCTCAGACCACAAAGGTAGGAAACTAGAAATAAATTACATGAAGAAAATGAGAAATCCCACAAGCATATGGAGGCTTCACAACATGCTCCTAAATAATCAATGGATCAATGACCAAATAAAAGCAGAGATCAAGCAATATATGGAGACAAATGACAACAATAATTCCACACCACAAAAATCTGTGGGGCGTGGTGAAGGCCGTGCTAAGAGGGAAGTATACTGCAATACAGGCCGACCTCAGGAAAGAACAATCTCATATGAACAGCCTAAACTCACAATTAATGAAACTAGAAAAAGAAGAAAAAATGACACCCAAAGTCAGTAGAAGGAGGGAAATAATAAAGATTAGAGTAGGAATATATAAAATTGAGAAGAATAAAATAATAGAAACAATCAATGAAAGCAGGAGCTGGTTCTTTGAGAAAATAAACAAAAGAGATAAACCCCTAGCCACACACATCAATAAAAAAAGAGTCTACACACATAAACAGAATCAGAAATGAGAAAGGAAAAATGACTACAGATACCACAGAAATACAAAGAACTATTAGAGAATACTATGAAAAATTATATGGTAACAAACTGGATAACCTAGAAGAAATGGACAACTTTTTAGAAAAATATCTTTCGAGGGCTGACCTAGGAAGAAACAAAAAATCTGAATAGACCAACTACCAGCAACAAAATTGAATTGGTAATCAAAAAACTGCCTAAGAACAAAATTCACTGCTGAATTTTATCAAAAATTTTGTGAAGACCTAATACCCATCTTCCATAAAGTTTTCCAAAGAGTAGAAGAGGAGGCCAGCATCACTCATTCTATGAGGCCAGTATCACTCTAATACCCAAACCAGGCAAAGACACCACAAAAAAAGAAAATTACAGACCAATATACCTGATGAACATAGATGCAAAAATACTCAACAAAATATTAGCAAACTGAATTCAAAAATACATCAAGAGGATCATACACCATGATCAAGTGGGATTCATCTCCCAGGGATGCAAGGATGGTACAACATTTGAAAATCCATCAACATCATCCACTACATCAACAAAAAGAAGGACAAAAACCACATGATCATCTCCATTGATGCTGTAAAGGCATTTAACAAAATTCAATATCCATTCATGATAAAAACTCTCAACAAAATGGGTGTAGAGGGCAAGTACCTCAACATAATAAAGGCCATATATGATAAACCCACAGCCAACATCATACTTAACAGCGAGAAGCTGAAACTTTTTTCTTTAAGATCAGAAACGAGACAAGGATGCCCACTCTCCCCACTTTTATTGAACATATTCCTGGATAAACATGAGCAACTTTTTCCAGAACGCATTTCCGCAGACAAGAGAAACAAAAGCAAAAATGAACAAGTGGGACTATATCAAATGAAAAAGCTTCTGCACAGCAAAGAACACCATCAGTAGAACAAAAAGGCATCCTAGAGTATGGGAGAATATATTCACAAATGGTATATCCAATAAGGGGTTGACATCCAAAATATATAAAGAGCTCACGCACCTCAACAAAAATAAATCAAATACTTCAATTAAAAAATGGGCAGAGGATCTGAACAGACACTTCTCCAGTGAAGAAATTCAGATGGACAACAGGCACATGAAAAGATGCTCCACATCGCTAATCATCAGAGAAATGCAAATTAAAACCACAATGAGATATCACCTCACACCAGTTAGGATGGCCACCATCCAAAAGACAAACAACAACAAATGCTGGCGAGGATGTGGAGAAAGGGGAACACTCCTACACTGCTGGTGGGAATGTAAACTAATTCAACCATTGCGGAAAGCAATATGGAGGTTCCTCAAAAAAATAGAAATACCATTTGACCCAGAAATTCCACTCCTAGGAATTTACCAAAAGAAAACAACTTCTCAGACTCAAAAAGACATATGTACCCATATGTTTATTGCAGCACTATTTACAATAGCCAAGATATGGAAGCAACCTAAGTGTCCATTGGTAGATGAATGGATAAAGAAGAGGTGGTGCATATACACAATGGAATACTATTCAGCCATAAGAAAGAAACAAATCCTACCATTTGCACAACATGGATGGAGCTGGAGGGTATTATGCTCAGTGAAATAAGTCAGGCAGAGAAAGACAAATACCAAATGTTTCCCTCATTTGTGGAGTATAACGATGAAGCAAAACTGAAGGAACAAAATAGCAGCAGACTCAGAGACTCCAAGAAGGGACTTTCAGTTGGGGGAGAGTGGGTTGGGAGGGAGGGAGAAGGGGATTGAGGGGTAATATGACTAGTGCACATGGTGTGTGTGGGGGTCATAGGGAAGACAGTGTAACACAGAGAAGACAAGTAGCGACTCTGTGGCATCTTACTTCTCTAATGGACAGTAACTGCAATGGGGTATGGGGGGGACTCAATAATAAGGGTGAATGTAGTAACCACATTGTTATTCTTGTGAAACCTTCACAAGAGTGTATATCAGTGGATATATAATAAAAAGAATATATGCAAAGAAAATGAGGGAGTTTCAAAAAATATATTTATATGAAAGAATCTTCAATACATAGTTATGTGAAAAGAGTAAATGTACATTCTCCAAAGTAAGGTACCAAAGCTCCTTGGAGAAATGGCTGATTCTAAGATTGGGGCAGTAAGTACATAGGATAAGTCTGGAGCATCTTGTAGTGAAAGAAAGTAAAGAAGTATTCCACAGAAACAAGTATTAAGGGCCTTATATACAAAATGTATAAACAACTCATGCCACTCAACAACAACAAAAAACAAATAATTCTATTAAAAAGGGACCTGAATAGATGTTTTTCCAAAGAAGACAAATGGCCGACACATCAAAAGTTGCTCCACATCACTAATCAACAGGGAAATGCAAATCAAAACCACAATGAGATGTCACCTCACACAGTCAGAATGGCTAGTGTCAACAAGACAACAAATAACAAGTATTGGCAAAGATGTGGCGAAAAGGGAGCCCTCCTGCACTGCTGGTGGGATTGCAAATTGGTGTGGCCGCTATGGCAAGCAGTATGGAGGTTTCTCAAAAAACTAAAAATAGAAATACCATATGACCCAGCAATCACGCTTCTGGGAATCTACCCAAAGGAAAAAAAAATCATTAATTAAAAAAGATATATGCACCCCTATGTTTATTGCAGCATTATGTACAATTGAGCCACATGGTGGGGAGCGGGGAGAGAGAATGGAGGAACAGCCCATCATCACCCCACAACCCACTGTGTGTGGGAAAAGGTTGGGGGTCCTTCCTGGCTCATCTTGCCCCTGGAGTGGCTACGTCCTCAGGAGGCTGGAGGCTTGAGAAGAACTGAAGACTTGATAAGGCCAAGGAAGGCCCAAGCTCCAGAGGCCAAAGGGCATTTACACATGTAGCCCAGCCCTTGGGCTGGTGTGGGGAAGAGATGGGGACAGGGAACAGGCTCTGCGGTTGGACCTGGGATGGGCTCCCTGCTTTGAGCTGGGCGCCCGGACAGCTGGTGGGGTATGAACAGGAGCTTCCCATCCCCCTCTCCCCTCCCCCCACAGGCCCCTGCAGGTGCTTGAGGTGAGCACTGTGCAGGAGGCCTGGAGCAACGGGCCTGGGAGCCTGACAGAGGCGGGCAGAGGGACACAATGAGCCCAAGCCCCTTTTCCGGGCTCTGGGTTCATCCGAGAAATGGGCTGATAACACCTATTTCACAGGTGGTGTTGAAGAGTTGTGCAGGCTGTTTCAGAAGCTCTAAGATGTGGTAAATTCTTTAGAAACACAAGAAGTGGCTGTTGGGATCATTATTATTGTCTTACTCAACCTGTGACTTCCACATCCCTAGTCACACCAAGAAAACCTTGCTGCTCTCCAGTATAGACTGCTGGAAATGGCTTTCTTTGGGCAGGAGGGTTTATAATCAGTGCTAAGGCCAGCCTGTACCCCTCCTGTAGAAACTCTGGCTTCCCTTCTTGCTTCGTACATGCAGCAAGGAAAAAACGTCCTGGCAGTGGCCGCCCGCAGCAACCACATCAGCCTGGTGGACATGATCATAAAAGCTGATTGTTTCTACAAATGGGAGAAGGTACGCAACCTTGTGCTTGGTTTTTCCATGTTGGAAAGGGAGTGAGTGGCTTTGAACCCCAGACCTGACAATTCAGGAGCCCCTCAGTTTCCAAGGGGGTGATAATCCCTACCTTACCTTACAAACACCAGGGTGTCTCTGAGCATCTAGAGATGAGTGAGCTTCCAAACTGCACTGAAACAAGGCTGACTGAGGTCCACGCCAGTGTGGCGATGCTACAGGACACTGCTACAGCTCCTGGCTGATGGATGAATGCCTGTGTGAATAAAGACATGGCAAGTTGGTTCCAGTTCACGGCCATCTTCAGGTGATTGGAATTGCTGCTTGGGGTGTTGTATTCAAGCAACTTTCTGGGCCCAGAAGGAAAATGTGCTGGGATTGATTAGTGATGTCTGCTGTGGAATTGGAAAAGAATAGTGGTAGGTACAGGCCATGCATTGGCTGTTCTTAGCTGTCAGCAAATGGAAGTGTTGTTGGGAGGTTTTTGGTGTCTTTGAGGATTGTCTTTATACATAGAAAATAATTTTTGTATTTATTTCAGTTTGAAAAATTAATACTAAATTTATTACACATTTTAAAACCTAATTTTCCTTAAATATTTTAATTCATTTATTAACCTTATCATTTTTATAAAACTAGTACATTTAAACACTTTAAAGGAAGACTTTTGGTTAATGTTTTGTCCCATGTTTAAATGTCATTAATGAAACTACCTGAAACGTTTAAAATTAAATGAATACATTTAATAGATTTTCTTTTTAAGCACTTCAAATGCCTCCTAAATTCTTAAATTATCCTAGTAAATCCAATAAATTAAGCCCATAAATAAAGTGAATCTCAAATATCTTAAGCATTCCAATATTGTTTAAAAACTTGGCAAACTACTCTTATACCTCTTAAATAAGCCACCATTCCAAATTAAGTCAGTCAATAGTAAATTTCAATAAGAATCATAAGATACTCTCTTTCGCCAACCTGCTAGATTCTGAGAAACATGACCCCTTTATATAAAACAGATTATTCCTAAATGTAACCTGAAAATACTAATACCAAGGGTTTCACAAACTGATTGTCTCTGTGCTTGATTCTAAGCCACCTCAGGCTTTAAAAGTTCTCAACATTAAGGCAGTGGTGCAGTTAGTAACAATTTCCCCTCATTACCCTCAGGCCAATTCAATCAGAATTTCTGACTTAGGGACCAGGTAGCCATTTTTTAAAACTCCCAGGTGGTCCCAATGTACAGATGCAGCTCAGACGTTGCTCTAAGGAGATGGTTTTTCCACCCCAGGTGAGAGCCAAGCTCCCAGACCATCACCTCACAGGTGCCAGGATGCACGTGAGCTTTTTGACAATCAGAACTTTGTATCTACATTCCTTAGAGGAGTTAAGGCATCTGTGAGTTTAACTTATGCTATTACAGAATTCTTTATTAACCTCTCATTTTACCACCTTGTCTTGCCAATGGGTTTCAGCCCCAGGCAAGTTCACTATAGATTCAGTGAGACTGGGGAATGACAATGGAACATTCTTGGGGTGAAAGGGTTTATACCCAACTTTATTCCCATGGTGGCAAGTCAATCACTAGAATCCCATCCCCTCAGAGCGAGTCTGCATGTAGCAAGCGGATCTCTGCCTCTGGGCCTCTCCACCCCTGCAGCCGTCTCAGTCTCTGTCCTCGGTGCTGCCACCATCCAGTCCCTGCTCTCCTGCAGCCATGCCACTGTGGAGCTCTTTATATAGAGTTAATAACAACATATTGCTCACGTATGTGTAGTGAGCTAGCTGACCAGGGCCAGGGGAGAACCTGGCCATAGGAATTTTCACTTTATCCACACACACACCTGCTTTGCACAGAAAGAATTCTGTAACCCTGCCCTTCCCTACTTGTTGGGATTCAGTAAATCGAGTTAGTGCCTGATTCTAGGCTTGCCTGATTTTAGCCACAGCTACTGTCATTCTACTGATACTTGTACTATAAGAACACAGAGAAAAGAGGAACTGGGAAGGCTTCCTGGAAGAGGTGGCATGTAGGTGGTCTGTTGATTGTGGCAATGGGCTTGAGGAACTGGAAAGTGAGAAAAGGAGTAATAGAGTGCAGCTCAGGTTCCAGAGGTCAAAGCAAGGCAGAGTCCAAGCCCAGATTGGTGGATACTAAGCCCCAGGCCCATGATGACAGTTCCTGGTCCAGGCTCACAGGGGAAAGCCCGGCAGGGATTTTCCCTAGTCGGCTGCTGCACTTCTGGGATCTGCCCCACAGGACCACCCCTCGAGTAAGGACCCCAGTGACACCTTCTGGAAGAGCTTGACCTTTAAGCAGGACCATCAGCAGGAAATGCAGCAGCTCCATTCTATGCTGTGGCGACTGGCCTCCAGGTACCTGCAGTCCTGCGAGTTGGAAGAAGCTCGTGTATTGCTGGGAATTCACCGAGGCCCATGTCCATGCCATCGAGCAACAGTGGACAGGCACTACCTTGGCTGTCCCTACATCAGAGCCATCAGGGGCAGAGGGGTGAGGACACTGTGTGTTCAGTTTTCTGTGCCCCTGGGGAAAAAGCCTTTGCAGCCCACAGTCTAGTCATGCCAAGCCACACGCCATTCCCAGCACCAGCCTGCTCTTCTGCTCCTCCAAGTCTTTGCACAGGCTGTGCCCTCTGCCCCTCCCTGCCCATTCACTGTGAACATCACATTCCTCAAGAACCAGTCTAAGCTGGCACCCACTGTTCACATGCCAGACTAAAGACACTCCCTGTAAAAAGGAGAGGAGCAGCTGGCACCACTATTTAATATCTGGAAATTTTGGCCCTGGTATTAAGACATGAAACAGAAATAGAAGTAAGGAGTATAAATATTGGAAAGGAAGAGAGAGATTTATTAACTTCAGATGCTATAATTATCTACATAGGAAGTCCAGAAGAATCAACTGAGAAACTCCTAGAATAAAATTATTCAGAGAAATGGCTAAATGTATGATAAAATATACAAATACCATTGTGGTTAAAATGAAGGTTTCCATGGCCAGGATTCTCACCTGGCCCCGGTCAGCTAGCTCACTACACACATGTGGGTGATACGTTGTTATTGACTCTATGTAAAGAGCTACGCCCAATGCTCTGGGCAGTACAGTAGCACGGCTGCAAGGCTGCAGAGGCTGGTGTGGTGGCAATGCTGAGGACAAAGACTGGGACAGCTCTGCGGGCAGAGAGGCCCAAAGGCAGAGACCGGCTTGCTGTGTGCAGACTCAATCTTAGTGGACGGGATTCTAGTGACTGACCTGCCACCATGGAAACAAAGTTGAATATAACCCTTTCACCCCAAGAACGTTCTACTGTCATTTCTTTGGTCACATTGAACCCATAGTGAATTTGCCGAGGGCTGAGACCTGTTGGCAAGACAACCATAGTTTTGCTATGTGTTGTCAATAAATGGGCAAATAAAGAAAGGTATTTTTTTTAAAGATTTCCCATTTACAATAGTGTGTTTCTAAAAAATACTAGTGAGAATATAACAATAAAAATTAGTTGAGCTATAAAAAGACAACTTGGGTAAGTGGACTGACATTCTATATCCTTGGCTAGAAAAAGTGTACATAGATAGTGATTTTTCTCAAATTAGATTGAACGTTTGATCCAGTTTTAATCAAATTAAAATAAGAGGTTTTTGAAACTTAACTAAGGATTCTACAGTTCCCCTGTAAGAATAAACAGGAAATATATAAATATTCTGAGGGAATAGAGTAAAGAGTGTCTAACCCAACCAGACTCAGCTTTTTAAAAGCTAAAATAATTAACATAGATACCTGACACAAAATTATGCAAACAAATCAGTAGAATAAATCAGGGAGTCCAAAGGTAAACTGTGTCATAGATGAGAACTGTCATAGACGGTAAAGGAGCCCCAATAAATTGCAGCATTGGGGCGTGGGCCTGGGCCAGTGAATAAATGGGTCAAATGACACTGCCACACCAAGGGCAGCACCAGAGGGGGTGTGCCCACTGAGGGCCTGGAGATGGCCAGAAAATCAGAGGCCACAGTGAACGGACTGACTGGATCCGACAATGGGTGCCTGAGCATGTATGTCCCCACCTGACAAAGCGGACCTCATCACAGAGCTTAATAAGTCATCTGCCACCACGGGCATTGGAAAGGTGCACAATTATTTTCCAAACATGGAATACGTTGAAATCACCTGGGAAGCCTTAAGGCCATTCGGTGCCTAGGCCGCACCCAGACCCAACTATGTTGGAATCTCAGGAGGAAGGCGTGTGGGACCCAGGTGTTTCCAAAGAGCTCTTAATAGGTGAGAGCCCCAGGTGCAGGGGAAAGAACATGGCCAGCGCTGTCTCTGACTAAACTGTTCTCTCATCTGTAAAGAGGGACTAGCAGGTAAGGCACAGATTATTGCGGGCAACCAATGAGATGAAGCAAGTTGTAACCTGAAAATACTAATACCAAGGGTTTCACAAACTGATTGTCTCTGTGCTTGATTCTAAGCCACCTCAGGCTTTAAAAGTTCTCAACATTAAGGCAGTGGTGCAGTTAGTAACAATTTCCCCTCATTACCCTCAGGCCAATTCAATCAGAATTTCTGACTTAGGGACCAGGTAGCCATTTTTTAAAACTCCCAGGTGGTCCCAATGTACAGATGCAGCTCAGACGTTGCTCTAAGGAGATGGTTTTTCCACCCCAGGTGAGAGCCAAGCTCCCAGACCATCACCTCACAGGTGCCAGGATGCACGTGAGCTTTTTGACAATCAGAACTTTGTATCTACATTCCTTAGAGGAGTTAAGGCATCTGTGAGTTTAACTTATGCTATTACAGAATTCTTTATTAACCTCTCATTTTACCACCTTGTCTTGCCAATGGGTTTCAGCCCCAGGCAAGTTCACTATAGATTCAGTGAGACTGGGGAATGACAATGGAACATTCTTGGGGTGAAAGGGTTTATACCCAACTTTATTCCCATGGTGACAAGTCAATCACTAGAATCCCATCCCCTCAGAGCGAGTCTGCATGTAGCAAGCGGATCTTTGCCTCTGGGCCTCTCCACCCCTGCAGCCGTCTCAGTCTCTGTCCTCGGTGCTGCCACCATCCAGTCCCTGCTCTCCTGCAGCCATGCCACTGTGGAGCTCTTTATATAGAGTTAATAACAACATATTGCTCACGTGTGTGTAGTGAGCTAGCTGACCAGGGCCAGGGGAGAACCTGGCCATAGGAATTTTCACTTTATCCACACACCTGCTTTGCACAGAAAGAATTCTGTAACCCTGCCCTTCCCTACTTGTTGGGATTCAGTAAATCGAGTTAGTGCCTGATTCTAGGCTTGCCTGATTTTAGCCACAGCTACTGTCATTCTACTGATACTTGTACTATAAGAACACAGAGAAAAGAGGAACTGGGAAGGCTTCCTGGAAGAGGTGGCATGTAGGTGGTCTGTTGATTGTGGCAATGGGCTTGAGGAACTGGAAAGTGAGAAAAGGAGTAATAGAGTGCAGCTCAGGTTCCAGAGGTCAAAGCAAGGCAGAGTCCAAGCCCAGATTGGTGGATACTAAGCCCCAGGCCCATGATGACAGTTCCTGGTCCAGGCTCACAGGGGAAAGCCCGGCAGGGATTTTCCCTAGTCGGCTGCTGCACTTCTGGGATCTGCCCCACAGGACCACCCCTCGAGTAAGGACCCCAGTGACACCTTCTGGAAGAGCTTGACCTTTAAGCAGGACCATCAGCAGGAAATGCAGCAGCTCCATTCTATGCTGTGGCGACTGGCCTCCAGGTACCTGCAGTCCTGCGAGTTGGAAGAAGCTCGTGTATTGCTGGGAATTCACCGAGGCCCATGTCCATGCCATCGAGCAACAGTGGACAGGCACTACCTTGGCTGTCCCTACATCAGAGCCATCAGGGGCAGAGGGGTGAGGACACTGTGTGTTCAGTTTTCTGTGCCCCTGGGGAAAAAGCCTTTGCAGCCCACAGTCTAGTCATGCCAAGCCACACGCCATTCCCAGCACCAGCCTGCTCTTCTGTTCCTCCAAGTCTTTGCACAGGCTGTGCCCTCTGCCCCTCCCTGCCCATTCACTGTGAACATCACATTCCTCAAGAACCAGTCTAAGCTGGCACCCACTGTTCACATGCCAGACTAAAGACACTCCCTGTAAAAAGGAGAGGAGCAGCTGGCACCACTATTTAATATCTGGAAATTTTGGCCCTGGTATTAAGACATGAAACAGAAATAGAAGTAAGGAGTATAAATATTGGAAAGGAAGAGAGAGATTTATTAACTTCAGATGCTATAATTATCTACATAGGAAGTCCAGAAGAATCAACTGAGAAACTCCTAGAATAAAATTATTCAGAGAAATGGCTAAATGTATGATAAAATGTACAAATACCATTGTGGTTAAAATGAAGGTTTCCATGGCCAGGATTCTCACCTGGCCCCGGTCAGCTAGCTCACTACACACATGTGGGTGATACATTGTTATTGACTCTATGTAAAGAGCTCCGCCCAATGCTCTGGGCAGTACAGTAGCACGGCTGCAAGGCTGCAGAGGCTGGTGTGGTGGCAATGCTGAGGACAAAGACTGGGACAGCTCTGCGGGCAGAGAGGCCCAAAGGCAGAGACCGGCTTGCTATGTGCAGACTCAATCTTAGTGGACGGGATTCTAGTGACTGACCTGCCACCATGGAAACAAAGTTGAATATAACCCTTTCACCCCAAGAACGTTCTACTGTCATTTCTTTGGTTACATTGAACCCATAGTGAATTTGCCGAGGGCTGAGACCCGTTGGCAAGACAACCATAGTTTTGCTATGTGTTGTCAATAAATGGGCAAATAAAGAAAGGTATTTTTTTTAAAGATTTCCCATTTACAATAGTGTGTTTCTAAAAAATACTAGTGAGAATATAACAATAAAAATTAGTTGAGCTATAAAAAGACAACTTGGGTAAGTGGACTGACATTCTATATCCTTGGCTAGAAAAAGTGTACATAGATAGTGATTTTTCTCAAATTAGATTGAACGTTTGATCCAGTTTTAATCAAATTAAAATAAGAGGTTTTTGAAACTTAACTAAGGATTCTACAGTTCCCCTGTAAGAATAAACAGGAAATATATAAATATTCTGAGGGAATAAAAGTGTCTAACCCAACCAGACTCAGCTTTTTAAAAGCTAAAATAATTAACATAGATACCTGACACAAAATTATGCAAACAAATCAGTAGAATAAATCAGGGAGTCCAAAGGTAAACTGTGTCATAGATGAGAACTGTCATAGACGGTAAAGGAGCCCCAATAAATTGCAGCATTGGGGCGTGGGCCTGGGCCAGTGAATAAATGGGTCAAATGACACCGCCACACCAAGGGCAGCACCAGAGGGGGTGTGCCCACTGAGGGCCTGGAGATGGCCAGAAAATCAGAGGCCACAGTGAACGGACTGACTGGATCCGACAATGGGTGCCTGAGCATGTATGTCCCCACCTGACAAAGCGGACCTCATCACAGAGCTTAATAAGTCATCTGCCACCACGGGCATTGGAAAGGTGCACAATTATTTTCCAAACATGGAATACGTTGAAATCACCTGGGAAGCCTTAAGGCCATTCGGTGCCTAGGCCGCACCCAGACCCAACAATGTTGGAATCTCAGGAGGAAGGCGTGTGGGACCCAGGTGTTTCCAAAGAGCTCTTAATAGGTGAGAGCCCCAGGTGCAGGGGAAAGAACATGGCCAGCGCTGTCTCTGACTAAACTGTTCTCTCATCTGTAAAGAGGGACTAGCAGGTAAGGCACAGATTATTGCGGGCAACCAATGAGATGAAGCAAGCAGTGGTGTGCACCACGGTATCATGACAATGAGTACAATTCTTGTGTCAGAGTGACCCCAACAGGATGCATGGTGGATGCTCAGGAGAAAGCCTGGGTCTAGGAAGGCTCCAGGGTCCCCAACACAAAACCCCTGCTCCCACACCATCTGAGGCTGTCCCTCCCATCCTGTCCCCATCTCTGGGCTGAGCTCCACTGGACCTTAGAGAAGCGTCAGGGAAGGCCTTGGTCTCTGCCTTGCCAATGGGTTTCAGCTCCGGGCAAGTTCACTATGGATTCAGTGGGACTGGGGAATGACAATGGAACATTCTTGGGGTGAAAGGGTTTATACCCAACTTTATTCCCACGGTGGCAGGTCAATCACTAGAATCCCGTCCCCTCAGAGCAAGTCTGCATGCAGCAAGCCGCTCTCTGCCTCTGGGCCTCTCTGCCCCCACAGCCGTCTCAGTCTCTGTCCTCAGCACTGCCACCACGCCACTCTCATCTCTGCTCTCCTGCAGCTGTGTCATGTCACATGAGTACTGGGCTGAGCTCTTTATATAGAGTCAATAACAACATATTGCCACATGTGTGTAGTAAGCTAGCCAACCAGGGCCAGGGGAGAATCCTTCACTTTATCCACAGTCTCTTTCCCGCCTGGGCATGTTCAAGAGGTGGCCACGCAGCATGGACACCTGCTCAGACCTGGCTCGGCTAAGGTGGGCTGGGCTGGCTCCCGCTTCTTCTTTTTCTCTCCTCATGGTCCTCAGGCACCAAGAGCTACAGGGAGCATGGCCATCGGATGCTACTCATTTGGCTGCATGGTGAGGTCATGGCTGGTCAGCACCCCAGCAAAGTGGTGTTGTGACCTTTGGCAGGAGGGACCTGGCCAGTAAGAGCATCCTTTGCTCAGGACAGCCCCAGGCCCCAGGTGCAGAGCGGCATGGTCCTGTCAGAATTCTGCAAGGCCCTCCAAGGGCTGGGCAGAACGCAGTGCTATGGCACTGGCTCTGAACCTTCCAGATTCCTGTCCTCACCCGCACTGCCTCTTTCTGGAACTCAAGAGGAGCCTTGGGCAATCACAGTGCCTCCTGGCCCCAGTTTCCCTGTTGGTGCAATGAGGGTATTGGCCCAGGTGATCCCTTTGACCTTCACAGCCCCAAAGCAGCTGCAGGCAAGGTGGAGAAACAGTCATTTCAGAGTGGAGGAATTAGAGGTGACTTTTTCTTTTTCCAAAATATTCTTAAATATTATTGCTGCATCTTCTTTTAACACAAACTCTGGCAGGCACACTTAAGACATAAAACTAGCCTTGTGAGGCAGAACTGAGGCAACATGCAGCAATGGGATTCTTGTCTTTTGCAGAAAGCATCAGGAAGAGAACAAACGCTGACCCGAGTGTCTCCAGGAGGTGTGCAGCCATGCAAGCAGAGGGGCCAGGCCTTCAGGAGCTTGGGTCCTCAGAATGGGGGCCACTGAACAGAAGGGGACCCCATTTAAGGGCTTAAAAAAACCCCACTCCTAACAGACCTCCCAACTTCTGCTATCGAAACTCATCGTCATGCAGGACCAGCAGGCCGATGTTTGTAATCTTTGTAAGGACTGGTCTAGCGATCCATTCCAGGTTTTGCTGGTGATCCCTGCCCACAGGTATGGTCCTTTGTAGCTTTCACCTCATTTTCATCTCCAGCATCTCCTGGGAGGTCATAGCAGTCCGCAGAGATGCAAGGAGCATCTTCTCAGAGAGGACGCTGGGGCTCAGGAGGGAGAAGCAGCTCATCAGGTGGTGAGGACAAGGTGCCAAACCCAGCACTCCTGCCCCAACGTGGCAAAAGGGCTCTATCCACCACTTACAAGATGGACGCCCTTAACTCATTCACGGGCTTTTATGAAGGCTGCCATGTTTACTTCACAGCTGTTTCTGTTCACAAGCTTATTTATACACTTTGTCAGTTCCAGGAGGCTAGTCTCATTTTTCCCCCCTTGTTTTTGAATTTTTTAGAGTTTAAAAACTTCCTATTTTGAAATCATTTCAGACTTAACAAAAAAAGTTGCCGAAATACAAAGAATTTCTGAGTACCCTTCACAATATGGCTTCCCTAAATTTAACATCTTACCTAACCACCGTCTAATGATCAAAACCAGGAAATTCACACTGATACAATGTTTGCTTGTTTGTTTTTTGTCTTACACAGCAGTAGTACACACAGCAATCTGATGCTATCTGCCAGGAGACAGCTCCAGATTCTCCAGGTTAAGGGCCCAGTCCTACAAGAGTGCCCACCCACCCCCACTCCAGATGCCAGTCACAAGCGCCAGGCAGCTGACCTATCCTACCAGCTACAGATTGGAGGTTCCAACAACCTCTCCCTTAGGTTCGATTAATTTGCTAGAGTGACTCACAGAACTCAGGAAAACACTTATATGGTTTTATGGGAACTCTTTACTATCTGTTCAGTTTTTTAAAACTTAAAAAAAAAACATAGTCTATTAATTTAAAGAAACCTTGAAACTTACAAAAAGACCGAAAAGAGGCTTTGAAAGCAGCCCGTTCTATAGGCAGTAACCTGATGATCTCAAAGGTGTGTCTTGCCTGAGGCCTCAGAGTTCGCAGTGGGATTCAGACCCCCAGTACTGCCCATGGCCTCTGTGTCATGTGGCACCCTGCCCGTCTGCATGTGCTGTGTTGAGGTGGGAAGACCCTTCTCTTCCATCTATTCTATTTGGGGAAGGTATTTTGTACCACATGGGGCTTAGACCATTTATCTTGATGAATTTTCAAAATGAATTTTGTATTTTTTTGAGACAAAAATGAAAGTTCTTATTAAAGATGGCAGCATGAGAGGAGAGACAGAGGCTTCCTCCTAAAACTGGATACAATTAGAAAATATAGTTGGCCCAACTAATCCTGAGAGAGCAACAGGAAAGAGGACGGCGTCAGACTCACACACCTGGAGAAAGGAGCAGACCTCAGCGAACGGGGTAACGTACCAGAGCTGTGGCTCCGCGGGACCCGAGCCCCTCCCCCACCCCAGCTCACCGGCGGGAGGAAGAGAAACGGAGCACAGAGGGAGTGGAAGGCTTGGGACTGCTGAATACCGAGCTCCAGAGATCTGCGCTGGGAGCCCAAACCTACATTTCATGGTGCTTTCATGAGGCTCGCATGACTACTGGGTTGGAAAGTTAATACAGGCGGAGTTCCTGGGGAGACTGGGATTCCGGC